CCGACTTTTGTTGGTTTGGTTTGGTCTATAGATTTAAAAATCCGATACAATTAGTTTGGTTTGGTAATTACAAAATCCGAACCAACCCGACCTATTTACACCCCTACCCACAACTTCCCACAACTTAACCCATGACCTATACATCAGGTGAAAACAACTTTATCGTTTCTCAGAATTGAAAAACAAATGTGATCACAAAGGAAATATAGAGCTGCAAGCTTAGACATGGGCAATTACATAAAAAGATCAATTCATTACAAAGAATTTGAAAACAAACTGACCCCCCAAAAAAACAATAGAAAACAAGTTACAAAATGCCTTAATCCAAAACCACACCACACCTAAGATAATTCTCAAGTGTTGGAACATTCTTGATTTTTTTTTCAACCTCTCAAAATTCATACAAATACTTCTCAAATAGTGGCATGTGATCAGCATCTAAACAAACAGCCAAACGCAAGTTCCTATCTTTACTATTTGGACTTGGCAATATATAAACTGTCCCTTCATATAAAATGCAAGCTGGTCCCATATGAATTGGCCTTCCCCATCCAAAATCTGAATCATGAACAGGCAATCTAGTCCAACTATTAATATTAAGATTAGGGCTAGCAAAGTACGTCGGTCCACGGATTAAAGCCGATAAATCGGGCAGTAATTCGAGGTAATCGAGAGCTGATCTTAGGTAATTGTCATCCATTTTTGATAATGCACTATGAATTCTCTTGGCTGAATTTGTCAATGGTTCTTGTAAAAGTTCACTTGATTTTGCCATAGGTGTGCCTGTGAACACAACATTTCCTAAGTAACCTGGTGGCAAAGGAGGGCAAAGCCTAGACCTACCATCAGTGGCCACATGTAATTTGGTCAATTGATCGTCGGACAGTGCACGTGCCTTGCACGTGCAACGCCAAATATGGGCCGCGAGGATTTCGTAAGTGCTACCATCATGTTTGGACTTGGACTTTAGAAGCCCAAGTTGGTCACTAGAGAATTTTAACATGGTTGTGGTACTAGGCTTTGGGCTAGTGGATTCTTTGGTTTTTGATGATGAAATAAGAGATGGAGGAGGATGATACTCGACGTGTTCGAACGACGATGTCGGTGGGTCCCGTGCACGGAGGAGGGTCCGGTCAATGAACGGCGGGATGACGACGGAGAGGCCTCGGGCAATATCGGACCATGTGTTGATGAAGTGAATGGATGAGAGACCATCTGATAGAGTGTGGAATACTCCTCCACCAAGTGAAACTCCACCACATTTGAAACGAGTAACCTAATTAAAAATTACACAAAATATTAAATTTAAGTACCAATCTATATTCATACTACTACAAATAGCAAGAAATGTCACTGCAATACAAAAGTTCTAGTACTATCAAATTTAGTAGATATACAAATAACATGTAATTTCTCATATTAAGTCTGATATGATAATTTAAAAATTAAAAGTTTCTATAACAACAACAATAAATTCAGTAAATTTTTCACAAGTGGGGTCTAGAAAGAGTATATGTGTATGCAGACAGTGCTCCTACTATTAAAGGGCAGAGAGATTATTTTCGATAGACCCTCTAATAAAGAAAAAATACAAAGAAGCAATAACTATAAATAGTAATAACAAGTTATTAAGAAAATTGATAGCAATGAAATAGTATGCACTAATAACAATCTAACAATAAAAAGATACTCAAAAAATTCATCATTGATGCCAATATATTTTTAAAAAATATATGGCTCAACGTAAGTTTATGAGCCACATTTTTAGACAAATTTACTAGGGAGATGTGACATGTGAACTAATTTATGGACCAACTTGCTAGGGAAATGTGAGTTGTGAACTATAGTAAATTTTATCATTTTATTAATGCTTTCACATGCACAGATCCAAATA